GCTGTAAACAACCCTACTGAGAGGAGAAATATACCGAGCCGAACGAGACGACWRTWAATGAGAGCTGCTGCTTTGTCAGACAAATTTATTTTAATTTGGAAGCCTTATCAACACGGACTGGCTTCTTTCACTTCCTCCACTGCCGTATGCTAAACTAACAGACACTGCGCTGAAAATCAACGTCGTTCAAAACTCCGCCTTCTGTTTGCTGATTGGCCCAGGTGTAATAAACTACAAATAGACACTGCGCAGAAAATTGATGTGCTGTTCTCTGATTGGTTCGGCTAAAAATCTGCCTGTGAAATCCTTGTCTATGGGAGAAGTCCCAGACGGAGCAGAGAAGCGAAACTAGAATTGAGCGGAGCTGCGTAGGAAGGCAAGGGCCAGGCTAGTAGACTAGTTAATGTTGCCTGTTTTTTGTACTTTCTTTTATTTTACACACATTTAAAATCCAAACATATTGGCATTATTTAGTGCCCGTCATTAGTTGAGACGAAAAATCTGGAAATCGACTGATTCCACCCAATTATTGGGCAACCGGTGCATTCTTTATTCAAGCAAAACTACTAAGATTAAAAGAAACATAAAATCACTGGTATGGTCCTTATCAAACAGACTTTAATTGTTTCTAATCTGTATTATGACCACAGGTGTTTTGAGATTCAGATGTTTTCTGCAGGTTGGGATGAAGCAACAACTGTATGTTAGTGAAAACAGCCAAGGAGGCTGGAATTAAAGGACAGGAGCTGTGGCCTGACATGTTACCTGGCTATGACAAACAGCACACAACTGACACCCAAGCAAGCCAGCAGAATATACATCCAGATATCAGGCGAGAGGGGGTTGAGGAAGGAGAAGACCCCAGGGTTGGTGCCGTTGGGCTTGCGGTACAAAATACTTATCCCAAGAGTCATAAAGGGCTTTGAGAAGTCGATGACTTTCTCCCGGACGTAGGTGATGGCCAAAGGAGCAACAGCAAGGTCTGCTTTCTGCAACATGACAGAGACAGGGAGAGAGGTGTTTGAGTCCACCAGTTAAAGAAAACACACAAATTGTTTAAATAAAAATATTTCTGTTGAGCCGAGTTTGATAACGTGTACAGGAAGAAGAAGTGACATGGAGACGTGTCTTACTTCAGCTAGAGTAGGTAGGAGGCTGTGCTTATATACGTCTGATCCCTCTTATGTGGTGCCAAAGGTGAGTCACAGACGCAACAGTCTTTGTATTAAATTAATCTGTGACAAATTAACCCCATGTCCCTTCTGAACATACTGTAACATCAGCTCTTTGTGCTGCTAAAGCTCCTGCTCTGCTCCATTTCTGCATAATCCTTCCAAGAAATATTTTCATCTTCAAAAGTGCCAGGGTGTTTTTCTTAGCTTTTTATCTTTATGCTTCTACTCCAGACTTTCTTGGATATTTTTTTTTCTTTGAAGGTAGCACTTATCTTTTCACATCTTGACTACCATTGCAAAAGTATGGATCCCAAACCAATCACTTTATACTTTGTTCATGCTTAGTGAAAATACATCCTTTAAAGTGCCTATGATATCAATTTTTGTAATAAATATGAATGCATTTTTGGAATGATTACATTAATAACATATTGCAAAAGAAATTTCACTGCGTCAAGATGACCAGTTATTGAGATATTTGCATGTGAAAAAACAGGAAGTGATGTCAAAGGGGAATGTGAACAGAGTGTTGCTATAATGGCTAACAATGGACTGTAGAGAAGAATCAGTTTCTTTAGATTATTTTGAGTCTCTATCAGAGAGATGAAGAAGAGTCAGAGTTCAATGTTTCAATAAACAAAGACCAGAGAGTTTCTTTTCTGAAAGAGTTCCCCTTTGATGTCACTTCCTGTTTCACTTTGGCTGAGCCAAGTTCAAAAGGAAACATGACAGGTGATAAAATGGGTAAATGTGTATTATACMRAGTTTCTTAAATATAAGGGTGTTTTCTTGACTTTGTGTAACTGAAGTACATGCTTGCAAAACCTTTAGACTACGTGTCAAACTCAAGGCTCACGGGCCAAATCTGGCCCTTGTTACCATTTTATTCGACCACAATTATAATACTGTAAATAGTTTTATGATTAAACAGAAGAACCAGAACAAAAGGTGAAGTGCAATAAAGATTTAAGAACAATTTGAATGATTTTAAGGTTCTTAAAGAGCGTTCCATTCATTTTTATTTAAGAATAAAAAGTGGTGGTGGAGGGCAGAAATAAAGCTAAATTTCTCAAAAAGTATTAAATGCTGAAATACCAAAAGTCATAGCTGGAATGTCCGGAAAGGAGCTGAATGTTTTAATATATAAATTGTTTAAATAGAACAAAAACTACACAATGAGTAACTGTATGTGTCAAAACATGTACAGAATCAAAAAGTTGTGGGAGAAAAAGCCATAAAAAATGCTAGTGATGATTCTTTTTGCATTTAATCTTTTTTCTTTATTAGGTTATGTTTGTTGTAAACACGACATAAAACATAATTTGGAGGTCATTTGCATTTCTATAAGAATACTAATTTGTTACATACCTTTTTTTTTTTCAATAAAAACTGACAAACTGGCTCTTGGCTTGAACCGAGTTTTGGATTTTGGCCCCGTTGTCTAATTGAGTTTGTACTCCCATTTAGACTAAGAACATCTTTTGTTGAGAAGTGACACAATTGTTTCTGTTGGTCAAAGTTTGTACCAAAACCTTGTTTCGGTATGCAAACTTGCAAGATGTCCCATTCTATGCATGTGTCTGTTTTTAAAATATTTTGTTTTGATGACGTCTGTTTCTAATAAGATATTTCTGGCCTCACATGAGAAGGAAAATAACATATTCTGCTCTTCTACACACACACACACACACACACACACACACAAAGCATATTTTATCCGACCCTGGCGATTGTTGACTCACATGGTCCATGAGCTCCCGCACCATGCCGTTCCACTGCCCTGTGCTCTCATCAAGCGCTCCGTACTTCCCATCTTCCACTAATCGCACCTCGTATCGGAAGCCCAGGATGCCGGAGAGTTCCCTCAGCAGGTCGATACAGTAGCCCTCGAAGCGATCGTTCCCGTACAGAGGCTTGTCAGACTTCTTGAACATCACATACGGCTCCTCCTGCAGGGAGGAAATAAGCTGGTGTAGCCATGCAGAAAGCATTGTGTTTTGTATTTGATTTTTCTTTTCTTTTTTTGGGGGTCATGTATACCAGTATAGTGGATACACGCAGGGATTTGTTAGCCAGAGAGTCAGTGATGTTGGACGTCTTGCTTTTGTGCGTTTCTGTCATATTGAGACCACTGGGAGGATCCCATGTTCCAATCTGTAGAAACAATTTAGTGTCAAGTTTGTATCACCTGTCCGAACTGCAAGGAGGAAATTGAGCCCTTCAAAACATCGAAAACATCCCTTTTTTTTAAATCTTTCTGAGCGCCAGCTGTTGTAACAAGTGCCAAACCTTTTCCAGGCCTTCCTCCTTCAGGCTGATAACATCAAGATCGAAATCTGTTCTCAGTCCGTTGCTCTTGTTGAAGAGAACACGTCCTGTCAAACCATCCCAGTGAGCCTAAAGAAACAGAAACAGTGTAGCCCAATGAAATTAATAAGCTTGAACATGCTCAACAAAATCAACCTAACTTTAATGCTACTCAATCAAACATAAAAAAGTTTTCCTGAACCATTATCCAAATGGTGAGATTCGAGAGAGTTTATACCAGTAGTTTTCTACAATTCTGAAATGTGGGTTCACACAAAAGCTCTTGGCTTCTCTATTCCGAATGGCTTTGAAATGTCGCCATTGTTGAACTGTGTTCAGTCACTTTGGCTAAATGTATGTGGCAGCTGGCATCTGGTCAGAAAATTTCAACACATTCACCATCCATATGAAAAAGGTTATGGCGCACTAAGTGTAAAATAAAATGTTAAAAAATGTCACCAACACATTTTCATTGTTTAGCTCACTTTCAGAGTGCGAAATCCTAGTTAAAAATGTTCAACCACTATTTTATTGTTATTTAGCTCACTGTTCTTACATTTTTTTTAACTAAATGTTAAATTTAATTGTTAAATGTTATGTCTACATAATAAACCCTAAATCTAATTAGTTAAATGCCAAATGTTATGGCTAAGTGTTGATGTTTGGAATAAAATGCGGCCTTTGCAGTTTATGCTCAATTCTTGTTGTGACATCATCAACCTGAGACAAAAGCAACTGCTAACACTGCTAATGTTGYTAACAGTGCTAACACTGCCAATGCTTGTTGCAGTGGCACCTGCAGAAAAAATTTTCAGGGGGTGCCATGGAGGGGCCACTGAAAAACCAGGAGTGGCACACCAAAACTAATATCTATAACAGAAAATGTATAATGTGTTTGTAAAAATGACAAATTGATAACTACAGCAATATAAAGCTATGGATTTGCCAACAGATGTTCAATTTGTAGTTTCACAGATAATATCGCTGTTTTATGATGATGGGAGGACCCACTGGTCGGGGGTCTGGGGGTCCTCCCCCAGAAAAGTAAATGCCATTTCCTGCATTGTGGTGTATTTTAACAGGTTGTTAAACAGATTTTTACCTACATAGAAAAACACTTAATGTGAGTA